TTTTTGTTGTGTATTAATAACATTCTCCTGTCTGTCTGTCTGTCTGTGATTGGTGACATTCTCCTGTCTGTCTGTTCTGTCCATCTGTCTGTGATTGATGACGTTCTCCTGTCTGTCTTTCTGTCTGTGATTGGTGACGTTCTCCTGTCTGTCTGTTCTGTCCGTCTGTCTGTGATTGGTGACGTTCTCCTGTCTGTCTGTTCTGTCTGTCTGTCTGTGATTGGTGACATTCTCCTGTCTGTCTGTCTGTCTGTGATTGGTGACATTCTCCTGTCTGTCTGTCTGTCTGTGATTGGTGACATTCTCCTGTCTGTCTGTCTGTCTGTGATTGGTGACATTCTCCTGTCTGTCTGTCTGTCTGTGATTGGTGACATTCTCCTGTCTGTCTGTCTGTCTGTGATTGGTGACGTTCTCCTGTCTGTCTGTTCTGTCTATGTGTCTCTGTCTCTCTCTCTCTCTGTGTCTCTGTCTCTCTCTGTGTCTCTGTCTCTCTCTCTGTGTCTCTGTCTCTCTCTCTCTGTGTCTCTGTCTCTGTGTCTCTGTCTCTCTCCAGTGGCTGTGGGATGCAGCATCATCTCTCTGTGTCTCTGTCTCTCTGTTTGTCTGCAGACGCATGTGGAGAATCTTCCTCGTCTGCAGCGTCTGTTTCTCAGCGCTAACAGCATCAGCAGGTAAGAGCCGCATTCATCCGCATGTGTTTAATCCCGTCCTGTCTGAGGACGCGTCGTGTCCTTGTACTGCAGCAGTGCGGGGCTGTGCGACACACACACACACGGGCTGAAGCGTTTCGACAGTCATCCAGTGTGTCTGATTCTGTAACCATGGGAACATGTTTTTGCTGTGTTGTCATGGTGGGAGTGCTGCGGTTGCTAAGGGAGCACTGCAGTATGATGTCTTGATGTGGTGTGACGGGTGTGTTTGTCCCTCATTACTGCTGTGTCATACTGCTGCATCCAGAGCCCTGTGTGTGTGTGTGTGTGTGTGTGTGTGTGTGTGTGGGCGGCTTACTGAGGGCCAAGGGGTCACGCTTTGTGTATTGTAAAAGTGAGTTACATTAATTTATGTATTCAGTTTTGGCCGGCGATATGGAAGCATGTTTCTGCCATGGAATGAAAAAAGAAAAAACGTGATTGCAACTTTTTATCACACAATTCTAAATTAATTTCTCGTAATTCAGAGTTTATATCTCACTTTTTCATGCAATTCTCACTTTTTTCCTCATGACTCTGAGTTTATATCTCACAATTCTGATGTTCTGTCTGTGATTGGTGACGTTCTCTTGTCTGTCTTTCTGTTTGTGATTGGTGACGTTCTCCTGTCTGTCTGTATTTCTGTCTGTCTGTCTGTGATTGGTGACATTCTCCTGTCTGTCTGTTCTGTCTGTCTGTCTGTCTGTGATTGGGTACGTTTTTCTGTCTGTCTGTTCTGTCTGTCTGTCTGTGATTGGTGCGGTTCTCCTGTCTGTCTGTTCTGTCTGTCTGTCTGTGATTGGTGACGTTCTCCTGTCTGTCTGTCTGTTCTGTCTGC